GCAAAATTTTTAAAAATAGGGCCAACCTCTGATTTTTCTTTCATTAGGTATATCCAAGTTATCCTAGTATGATCATCAATAAACCATTTACATTGTTTTAAATATTGGAAATCATGATTATGGGTCCCATATGAATAAGAATATGAATAGTAGCTTGATATGGAGACCAAAGTTTTAGTAGCGCTACACATGAATTTCATCACCTAAATTCGGTAAAATTTTTGTGAGAATCTATTTACAAAATGAATTTTCATTTCTTGATTTTAAACATATTATATAGTTTATTAGCATACTTATTGACTACTATCTCATTCCCTCCTTTCCTACCCTTATAAAAAACTAGCAGTTCAACGCAGTCAAGCTAAGAGATTGATTACGGGCGGGATTTACTAAAAATGTTCAAGGAATAATTTTGGAATAAATTTTTTTATACTATGGGTTTAAGTGATTATCATCGAACTTCTTTTTGTTTTATGTAAAAATTTATTGAACCCTTCAACTTTGTTTTCAAAAAGATTAGTTTATAATTATTGTCGAAAACCGAGAATGTAAAGAAATCTAAGAATGGGAATATTGTAATCGATAGTTAATTGGAGATTGTGATTTTAGAATAATGTATAAGATGATTTATTTCTTAACTTAACAGATTGTTTTTCCTTTTGTGATTATTATTAAGAAATATAGAACGATTATTCTAATTTCAATTTTATGGTATCTGAGCCCAAATGCTTCTGACCTAGCAAGCAAATGGCAGAATTCCCCGCCAACAGCACGGAATCGGTGGCCTCTGAGACTTCTCAATCCGAAGCAGAGGTCACTTCTTCAATTGGCTCCAATGGACTCGAAAATTTCTTCTTCTAACTCGCAGTAGAGAAATTTAATGGAAGAAGTTTTCGTTAATGGGCACAATCAATAAAATTAGTGATCGACGGAAAGGGGAAGTTGGGTTACCTTATCGGCGAAACAAAGAGGCCAACCGATGCTAAACTTCTGCAAAAATGTGAAGTCCAAAAACTCCATGGTGATGGCTTGGCTAGTGAATTCTATGAAGCCATCCATAGGAAAGACTTATCTCTTCCTTCCAACTGCAAAAGTCTGAGATGCCGTGAAGGAAACATACTCCGACTCAGAAAATTCATCCCACATTTGAAATTAAATCTTGGTTATGGCAGACAAGGCACGGATAAAGAGATGTTACAAAGTATTACATGGAGATGGTGAGTCTTTGGTAGGAACTCGACCTAAGCGTCGAGGAAGAATGAAAGTATCCCGAGGATAGTACCTTGTACAAGAAGAAACGGAAAACGAAAGGGTGTATCCTTGCAGGGCTTAATCGCGAGTTAGACAACCTTAGAGGAAGGATCCTCGAACCACGACCACTACCTCATACTCACGAGGTGCGACAAGAGGAGGCTCGACCACAGTGATGTAGAGGGAGAACTTTAGATCCTCAAGTGAAATGTTGGCCTTATTTGTGAGAGGTAATGGGCCCCAAAATTTTAAAACAATTGGGCTTGGGTCAAGAAGTTATGGACTTGGAACCGAATTCTCTAAAAGAAATGGGCCATCAAATGTTGGGCCAGAAATTGGACTAAATTTTGGATCTTCAATTGGAAATGGATGATTGGGCCTATAACAACAGGAACAACATTGGTGTGAACACTATCGTAGGCCACGACACAAAGAGGACACGTGTTGGGAACTTCACAGGAAACCCATTGACTAAAAACTAAGGCAAAACACTAGAAGCAAGGGGTACCAAGTTGAGACAAAAAAATAATTCAACTTCGAACAGTTGGAACTTTATCAAATGTTCTCTAATCTTCAGACATCTAGTCAACCTACTCCAAAGGTCATTCTAGTTCATTAGTCCCAAAGGTAACTTTCTAAAAGCGTTAAACACCTCACAATATAAAACCTATTCAATTATTGATTTAAGTGCGTCGAATCAAATTATGGACTCCTCATTTATTCTCTTCATATAGAACCTATGTCAGAAATATAAAGATGAAAATTGCAAATGGCTCAACTCTCAGGAAAAGTATTCGAATCTTTGAATCCATAACATTAGAATATGTACTCCACGTTCCAAATTTGTCCTGTTACTTGTTGTCTAATGTCAGCTAACAAAAAGTCGTGCTAATTTTTTTTTTCCATCATATCGTGTCTTTTAGAACCTTTCATCGGAGAAGGCGATTGGCAAAACTGAGTGTGATGGACTATACTACTTCGAGGGAGCTGATGTGATTAAATTAGATCAACTTACAAGTTGTAATTTTGAATCTATCTCTAAGAATACTAAAATTTTGTTATGACACTATAGAATGGGTAGGCTCCTAGCTTTCAATACTTGAAACGTGTACTTCCATCCATTTTCTTGAATAAAACATCAATTGAATTTCAACGTGAAAGTTGTGAACTAGCAAATCATCAGCGTACATATTTTCCAAATTCCACATACAAACCATCAAAGCCATTAACCATGATTCACAGTGATTTATGGGGACTTTTCGCAATCCTAATCGTACTCACACCAAATGGTTCGTCACATTTATCGATGGCCATACTCGAGTATTTTTGGTCTAACTTCTAAAGGAAAAAAAACTACGGTTCGCTCAATATTTATAACTTCACTCCATGATTGACCTAATTTAAACACAACTTCAAATTCTACGCCCTGATAATGACACAGAATACTTCAATACCACTTTGCAAGGCTACCTAATTAATACGGGGTAGTCCTCCAATGTTCATGTGTCAACTCTCCCCAACAAATTGGGATTGCGGAACGAATAAATAGACGTATACACGAAATTGCCTGTGCTTTAATGTTTACTACAAACTTGCCAAAAATATTCTAGAGAGATGTCATTCTAACATCCACATATCTTATCAATCGAATGCCAAGTCGTACTCTCTCCTTCGACTCACCTCTACGAAGATTGCAAAATTACTTTCCTACCTCTCGCCTTAGTTCAAATTTACCCCTAAAGGTGTTTGGAAGTACAAGATTTGTACAAGTTCACTCCCATCAGCGAAACAAACTAAACGCTCGTTCAACCCTAAGTGTGTGCTCATTGGGTATTCACCCACTCAAAATGGCTACAAATGCTATCACCCTTCCACGAAAAAAATATTTGTTAGCCTATATGTCACTTTCTTTGAAATGACACCTTACTTTCAAAAACCTTCCCTTCAAGGGGTGAATTTGAGTGAAGATGAGTTCTTGGACGAGAATTCTTAGGCTTTGATCTTTCCCCTTCTGACCCAACATATACAAAACACGGCACCCTACCTTTTAATGTGCCATACATAGAAGGAAGCTTGAATTCAGGGGAGATGCTAGAAAGCCGAAGGACAAGGAAATACTAATTTACTCAAAGAAATCTAAATCAAAGTATAAGGAAATCTCACCTGAGGCACCAAGAAAGTTGAAACCGATGGTAGGACTTGATGAAAGTCACTCCAACAAATCTAAATCTCTAGATCCACCCATTGCTCTCAAAAAATAGCCTTAATCATGTACGTTACATCCTATTTCAATATTCATATCATTTAATTTCATACCTTTACGGCAAACCTTGATGAGACAAATCCCAAGAAATATTCAGGAGGCTTTATAATCACCAAAATGGAGAAGCAGTGATGGAAGAAATAGGAGCCTTAAAGAAAAATGATACTTAGGAAGTGGTATATCTACCGAAAGGAAAGAGACCTATAGGCTGCAAATGAGTTTTTAATGCAAAGTACAAGGCCGATGGAACAGTAGAACGTCACAAAGCTCATCTAATTGCCTAAGGGTATACACAAACCTATGATATTGACTAAACAAAAACATTCACAATGGTGGTAAAACTAAATACAGTTCGAGTTCTCTCGTTATTAGCAGTTAATCTAGACTGGACCCTTCAACAGCTAGACATTAAGAATGCATTTTTGAATGAAGAACTAGAAGAAGAAGTCTTCATGACAATACCATCTGGCTTCAACAAAAAGAATAAAGAAAATCAAGTTTGCAAACTCAAGAAATCTTTATATGGTCTCAAAGAGTCACCAAGAGCGTGGTTCGATAGATTTCCAAAAGTATTGAAAACTAAACGATATCAAGAAAAGCAATCATATCATACCATATTCTTCCAATAATCTAAAGATGGGGCCAGGACAATTCTTAATAGTACATGTCGACAATATAATTCTAACCGGGAACAACATAGCTGAGATGAAAAGACTAAAGAGATGTTTAGTAACCAAATTTGAAGTAAAAGACCTATCATTTGTCGAAAACTAGCACGCTTGGATGCAAACCAAGTAACACCCCTATTGAGACAGGGAACATATCAAAGGACACAAGAAATTCGTTAGAAATTGTTAGACACAAGAGATTAGTTAGCAAGTTAACTAACTCCCACACACTAAACTTGACATTGCTTTCGCGGTCAGCGTGGTAAGTCAGTACATGCAATCTCCTATAGAGGCTTTCCTAGAAGCAGTATACAAAATCCTCAGATATCTAAAAAGCACATCTAGGAAAGGATTGTTCTTTGAAAAGAATAAAAAATGGGAGTAGAGATATTCAAGAATGCAGATTGGGTTTGGAGAAGCAAGAAATTGAATGTAGTGGCCAGCAAATGCTGAAACTGAATTTAGAGCGGTTGCACAAGGGATATGTGAAGGATAATGGATAAAGAAACTCTTGAAAGAACTGGAAGTTCAAGTAGAGTTTCCATTCAAACTATATTGTGATAACAAAGCAGCCACCAACATTTCTCTCAACACAGTGCAACAAGACAGAACCAAACATGTAGAAGTGAACAAACATTTTATCAAAGAAAAGGTGGAAGATGGACTATTTGTATGACATATCTCTACAAGGGAGCAGACTACAGATATCTTCACCAAATGATTGACTTGATAAAACTTCGACAACTTCATTCGCAAGTTGAACATAATCAATATCTACAATTCAACTTGAGAGGAAGTAAAGAAAATCAAGAATGAAAAGAAAAATCTAATGGAAATATTGTAATTGATAGTTAATTGGAGATCGTGATTTTAGAATAATATGTACGATGATTTATTTCCTAACTTAGCATATTGTTTTTCCCTTTTTCTATTCATCCTATATGGTATAAATAGATTGTAACATGGTTGCGATTATTATCAAGAAATACAGAACAATTATTCTAATTTCAACTTCAATTATGAACGTTCTTTAATCATTAGTCTTTTACTGCATTGTTAATTCCATATAAATTTTTCTTTATATTACTTTGAACTCAAGTAAGTTATAGTGACACTCATGAATTTAAGATCCGAGATGTCACAAACTTTCTATTTCTCTTTTTACTGAATCACCAAAGAACTTTCAAAATGTAAATATCCTATAAAGTTCTCACATGCACAGGTACATAATATACAACAAACAAGCATGGATATGTAAAATATATTGAAGGCATAGAGAAGAATATTGTTGTCAGATTCCTTAGAGCTTTGAATCAAAATAATAAGCCTTTCTTCAATAGCATTATATCTACAGAGTGAAGGAATCTTTTTGTAGCAGCAGCAGAAGGATCATTTTGCCAATGGTTTTGTCCCTCAGGGATTGGACAGGGACCTAATGATGTTGACGAACGACCAAAATGTTTTTATAGATAAAGAATTTCCATGTTCAAAATAACATCAAGAACTATGCACACACAATGATGAAAGAAATGCAGTCAAAGGTTCAAACCTGTGCTATGTGACCTGGAGCCATGTTGCTGATTGATAGTTAATGATTTAATTAAATATGAATTTATGTTTGAATATTGTTTGATTAAATTTATGTTCTTCAAAAATATAAACGATTAACTCAGAATGTGTAGAAGGCAGCAATGAAACTTGTTGCAGCTTACTACATGTAGGTTAATGGTTATTACAATAGCACCAATTTTTAAGGTCTTTGCATGTATTAATTATACAACCAAGTGGTATATAGGGTATGGAACATGATTGGATCTCTCATTCTCAACAATTGATCAGGTGTACATGGAATCCTTAATACAGCTAAACACAATTAAAACAGGAGCTGCATAATTTGATAGGTACACTATCAACAGGTAGGAGGATGACATTAAGAGGACGATTTCATCAAAAACTATGTAGCTTGAGAAAATGAGAAAGGAAATAACTCTAAGCATAATGCAAACTACAGTATTGACTGCTGTTTCTGATCTTGTGATGCTAAGTGTTTGAAACCTTTTCTGACAAAGATTTCTAAAGAGGCAAAGCAACAAAAGTCAAAAGGTCCTTGGTAGAAGATTTTATTGGAAGATTTGATTTTGTTTGCCATTGAGTCTCCTCGTATATTAGTTTCCATATAAACATTGTGTGGTTGTACAATATCATGCCACATCCTAAAAATCCGGATTTGTAGTTAGTTTCAGGTTCTAAGAATATAGTCAACTTTATTTTCTCCATTTAGTACTTAGAACCATAACTTTATCCAACAGGAAAAAAAAATAGAGAGAACAAAATAATTCAGTTCTTCCTCAATTCTATATTGTGTCAGAGCTTTCTTAGGTTCTAGTAGGGAGCACTGCTGCTAACATTTTCTTATCGGTCTACATAGCCAATTCAATCAACTCATTAGCCAATGCCGTCTCTTTACCAGCCTTCACAGCCTATTCGGTGACCTTATTGGCCTTTATGGACAATCAGACATTGAGAGAATTAGAGAATATGCCTGCTCCAACCAACCAACCATTCTTGTTATAGACCGTTCACCAAAAATAATAATTTTTTAATTAAATACCTTTAAATTCACGTCAAATAAACAACCCTTTTGAAGATCTTCGAAATTTGGGCGAGAATTTGAGTTCAAATTTAAAAAAGAACACTCAATATAACATTGTCTTCTCTATTCCTTTGAAACTAAGGCCTTGTTCGGGAGATTTTTCAAAAACTGTTTTCCCCCAAACTTATTTTCAAACACAAATGGGACACACAACTTCTCCCCACAGTTCAACCACACATTCTCCAAAAAAATCATTTTCACTTTGAAAAATCTCTCCCAAACAAACACTAAACCCCCCCCCCCCCCCCCCCCCCCCCCCNGCAGTACATAATTCTGACCTGGTCTTGGCAAAACCAGGGGGCATACTCTTCAAAGTTAATATTGTAAACCAGGTAGAAATTCAAGGCTTCAATACAGGCTCCAGCCAAATGTCATATCGACCGGAACGCTACTTACTTTACTTAACTAACCGGTGGTTTAGTCATAGGAAAATATGTTTTAGCGGAAGTTTAATTTTTACAATGATAATTTTAACAACCTTTCGAATACTTAAAATAAAACACTGAGTAAAAAAATAACGGAACGTAATTTATTTGAAGAAAACACAACTTGTTCTCGCGTTCAGCGTTATTCAAATACTTTAAAGAAATAACACTAAAAACGTTCACAAAAATAAATCTAAATAACTTGTTCACCGGGTTTTCCATGGACATGTTGCACCACTCTCCATCTTTTCCATCATCCAAACCTAAGGTAGAATCATATTAATTTGTAGAGAAGGCGTTAAACCCGTGAGTTAAAAAAACTCAATAGATATCATTGGTGCATTCGTGATCAAGTTATACATTTCAAAGCTGTAACTTTAGAAGCCTTTTCATAGTAGGACTTTCGGTAAAATCCCAAACACGTAGAATCATGACTTAACACGACGCCTCGACTGGAAGTACATGCCGTACCCGGAAGTACCATTAGACATGGAGGTGTATGCCGTACCGGAGGTACCATTAGACATACAAACATTAACATAAATCTTCATTTACTAGAAACTTAATAACTTAACACGAATTAACACGTTGCACCTCTACCTACCTTGATTGATGCTTTGAACCTTGTTGAAAAATGCAGTCCTTTGATATTTCAAAAAAAAAAAACACTCCGTTGAGAATTAATGCTTGGAAAACACTTCTTGATAGCACCAAAACTTTTAGGAAAAACTAATTTTCCTCCCCCCTTTTTCTTTTTTTCTAGACTTGAAAACTCTCTCTTTTATGCTTAGAAGCTTTGGTCTTGGTGTGAAAAATGTATATGCATTGGGGCCTATTTATAGGTGAAAATCTCACAACTTAAGGGCAAGTGAAGGGCCTAATACTCATTAATACGGGTGTCATTTATGTGGGAGTTATAGATTTAAGAAGGTGCTAGAAAATCGTGTAGGAATTTAAAATTTCATATTTCGCGTACTTCGGTTGATACTGTACAG